GAGGGAGAGGGAGAGGGAGAGGGAGAGGGAGATTGAATGGACGATAGTCTACCATCACAATGAACTGCACCTAATTTTACAAGACCTGGGTTTTCCTGACTATGTCTTTAAATTTGTATGACTTCTTCCCTGAGTCCCAAACAGACAGCAACTCCTGTCGTATCTTGGCAACCAATGGAAGCAATGAAAGAGAAAAAAATGACAACAATAAATCATCCCAGCTGGCAATCACCACTGCACAGTTCTCAAAGTGGTTGTTTATCAACACTGAAGTCTGTACCACCTCCCTGGCACTAGATCAAATGGGTCCACTTGTGACAGCGACAGGAGCGGACCAGTGTCCCTCCTCTCATGATGTGTGGCACCCTGGAATGAATTTGCTGATGTTCTTGAAGCCTGGGTGTTTTTCTTACTTGTGTTCTAACACTGAAGATTTCTTGAGAATATTCTAGAAGTAATCTTTCATAGTAGTCATCAGTCAGTCCGGTCTTCTGATTGAGAATACATGGTGGAACTTGAAAAATTACAGGCGTCTACCCAAGGCAGATGCGTTGGGATCAACTCCTCAGGCTTCATTTTTTTTTTTTTAAATTAAGTATTGAGTTAGGATATCCAAGAACTGGACAGGGATTAGATGAATCTTAGTTTATCAAAGATGAAATATCATGCTGCCATTTTGCTTCGAGAAAATATTCATAATCCATTGCTAGCCAAAAATATAGCTGGATTAAAATACTCAGCAAGTAATGTGATGATTTTAAAAAAAATAGTTAGGTGTTTATCTGCACCATACAGTAGATCAGAAGAGGTCTGGGGCAATGATTGAGAGCACTTGCTGCTTGTGTGGAATAACTGATTGATTCCCAGAACCCGCACGGGCAGCTCCATGGGCTCTGACATCCTCTTCTGGCCTCTGTAGGTTATGCACTCATGAACATTCAGAGAGACAGACGGACGGACGGACGGACAGACGGACACACACACACACACACACACACACACACACACACACCAAGCAAACAAACAAACAAAAGCAAAATTAAATAAATCCTAGAAGGCTAAAGGCTACGGAGGGTGGCAGCCGCTGAGAATTGGCTTTCTCTCAGCTTCCCTGTGTCCCCTGAGTTTTGAGCACGGATCTCATATTGCTTTTGTCCTGCTTTAAAATCTCCTCAGTAGCCAGGTGGTGGTGGCACACGGCTTTAATCTCAGCACTTGGGAGGCAGAGGCAGGAGGATCTCTGTGAGTTTGAGGCCAGCCTGGTCTACAGATGGAGATCCAGGACAGGCACCAAAACTACACAGAGAAACCCTGTCTTGAAAAAAACAAAAAAAAAGAAAAAGAAAAAAAAAGAATTTCCTCAGTAGATGTTGACAATTTCCCCTCAGGAACACCATGAGGAGGAGCAAAGAAAGGAAATGTCTGTGCCTGCCTCATCCACTCCTGGCTTTTATTAGCCTTTACAGTTTGCCATTAGTTTTATTTAGTCTTAAGGTCTCTCCACATGCTCAGTACTGGCAGTTCTGTTGCTGGACTGTGGATATCCACTTTCTCAAGTTCAGTGCCGCGCTGGACAGTTTTATATCAACTTGACACAAGCTAAAGTCATCTGAGAGGAGGAGGGAGCCCCAGTTGACAAAATGCCTTCATGAGATCGGGCTGTAGACAAGCCTGTAGGGCATTTTCTTAATTAGTGATTGGTGAGGGATGACTCAGCCCATGGTGGGTGGTGCCATCCTTGGGCTGGTGGTCCTGGGTTCTATAAGAAAGCTGGCTGAGCAAGCCATGAGGAGAAAGTCAGTAAGCAGCACTCCTCCATGGTCTCTGCATCAGCTCCTGCCTCCGGTTTCCTGTCCTATTTGAGTTCTTGTCCTTTCTGACCAGCAGGGGCTGAAGAATCAGCTGTGATTAACAAGAGACCAGCCCCGCTGAAGTGAAATCTTTGTGTTACTGGGACAACTGATGCTGGCCAGCTGGTGATGGAGAAGTGACCAGCATCAGCGGTGAAATCTTCTGGGAAGTGTTTCTTCGGGGTCAGCACACAGAAGCTGTGGTCCAGAGGTGGCCAACAATCACCCAGGTGGCACCGGTTTGAAGGTATGAAGGGGTCACAGAGAGGTTTGGCGCTGTGTGGCAGAGCTGGAATCCCTGTGAGAGGCCATTTGTGAAAGTGCAGCCCAGTTGCAGCAGAGACCCCCAGCATTTTGGAGATGCCAGTGCCATGGGATGACCACCGAGAACAGCAGCGGCGGAGTGGAGCCGGCCTGAGCATGGAAGACAAGCTGTGTGTGCTGCAGAGGGCGGAGGCAGAGAAGTGACCCAAGCCCTTTGGAGGAGCCCAGAAGATCGTGAGTGAATCCTAGACATTGGACATTGAGTTATTTACAGCTGGAGTTTGGTTTTGCTCAGTTTTGTTCTGATTGTGACGGTGCCCTGGTTCTTCCCTCTTGAAGTGAGAAACTATTTAATTAATTTTGATTTTACAGAAGCCCACAGTTGAGAGACTTTGAATTTTAAAAGAAATTGGCTGTTTTAGAAGGACTGAATGTCTTAGTTAGGGTTTCTATTGCTGTGAAGAGACACCATGACCATGGCAACTCTTATAAAAGAAAACATATGATTGGGGTGGCTTGCTTATAGTTCAGAGATTTAGTCCATTATCATCATGGCAGGAAGCAAGGCGGCATGGAGGTAGACATAGTGCTGGAGCTGAGAGTTCTTACATCTTGAGCCAAAGGCAACTGGAAGTGAACTGAAACACTGGACATGGCTTGAAGGTATATGAGACCTCAAACTCTACAGTGACACACTTCCTCCAATAAGACCACACCTACTCCAACAAGGCCACACCTCCTAATAGTGCCACTCCCTTTGGGGGCTATTTTCTTTTAAATCACCACACTGAATTTTTTTTTAAGATTTATTTATTATTATGTATGCAATGTTCTGTCTGCATGTATGGCTGCATGCCAGAAGAGGACATCAGGTCTCATTGTATATGGTTGTAAGCAGTGTTTGAGTTTTTAGAGAATGTGGAACTTTAAAAATTTGAAATGTTTATGTTGTAATGTTGATATTAATGTGAGATCTTGGGGAAGAATAATAAAAAAAGAAAGGTTGTGACTTAACAGTGATGTGTTTGTGTGTCAGGTTGACAAGGAGTCAATTGTGCTGGACAGTTTTATGTCAGCTTGGCACAAGCTAAAGTCATTGAAGAGGAGGGAACTCAAGAAAAATGCTTCCTGCCAGGTGATGGTGGCGCATGCCTTTAATCCCAGGCAGAGGCAGGCGAGTCTCTGTGAGTTTGAGGCCAGCCTGGTCTACAGAGTGAGTTCCAGGATAGCCAAGGATACACAGAGAAACCCTGTAAGATGAGGTTGTAGGCAGGCCTGCAGGGCATTTTCTTAGTTATCAGTGGTGGAGGGTCCAGCCCATTGTGGGTGGTGAGAAAGCAGGTTAAGCAAGCCATAGGGAGCAATGGCCACTGCATCAGCTCCTACCTCTAGGTTCCTGCCTTGCTTGAGTTCCTGTCCTGATTCCTTCAGTGATGGCTGGTGATATGGAAGTGTCAGCCAAATAAGCCCTTTCCTCCACCGGTCACTTTGGTCTTGGTGTTCGTCACAGCAGTAGTGACCCTGACACAAATGCCTTTCAGCACCAGAACTACAGCCGTGTGCAGCTGGGCCTGGCTTTTTACGTGGGTGCTGGGGATCTGAACTCAGGTCCTCATGGTTCCATAGCCAGCACTGTATCCACCGGCTCCTCAGCCCTGGGATTCCCCATTTTAAACACACACCCCTTGTGGCTCTGGTACACCATCTGCCTGTTCTTTGTGAACTTGTAAGGACCGTGTGTTTGGGTTTGCCTTGCTTCAAGCTTCTAAAACTGGCAGGTGGTGGTAGCCTGGCTCACTAGTTCTAGCATGGAAGCAAATTCCTCTGGAACGTCTCTAGACCCCTGTTCTTCAGTCAGTGTTGGGTTTTAGAATGGGGTACCTGAACGGGATGATGATAAAACTATAGCCAGTGTCCACGAAGATGAGGGTGGCAAACACCTCCTGCCTCTCTTCCCCTTCCCTCCTTCCTTCTTCTCGCCCCCTTTTCTTTTTTGCTAAGGACAGGTGACAGACAAGAGCCTGGGGAGAACCCTACAAACTTCCATCACTTCAGATTCATTTACTGATTTCAGACTCCTAAAGCTGTAGTTCAGGACGACGACAATCTTCCCCATTTTGTAGATGACGAAATGGAGGCCTAGAGAGGTCAGGTTCCATGCTCAAGATCCCATGGCCATACTGGGCCCCAGCTCCACCAGGGGCCACTGTGCGGCCTCCAGCTGTGTGGTTTTCTCTAGGGTTCCCGGACATTGAACGTGGACCTCAGTGTGCAGGCAGCTGGTGATTCCGCTGCTCCCCGGCACGTTTTCGGGTGTCGACTTGTGATTTAACTTGAACCTTCTGAAGCTGTGCCCTTCATGGTCCTGGCCTCACCCAAAGTTACACACACTGCACAGAATGCATGAAACACAGCCAGCAGTGTATTTCCAAAGCACATTTCTGGAAAACCAGGCGGGGTTGTCAAGAAATATCCTTGGGGCAAAGCAGTTAGAGCTGCCCTGTGGCCTGGGGCGTCTGCTGAGCAAGGGGACCTGGGGGCTCTGAAGCCAGAGTCTGGAGGTGGAGGTCAGTCAGGAGAACTTCTGGAGCAGAGCAGGGAACAGCTGCAGGTTATGCTCGGTAGCGCTTATCTCTT